CTGTTCCTCCTGCTCTACAGTAACCTGTCTTTCACGAGTGCGAATATTAGTGGGCCATAATATTTAAGGTGCGATACAGATTCCATGAAACTATTTAAATTTGGACACGCATCCTCTTTCCGTGTTTCCCATCAATCTCCCGACAGCATTGGCACGGATTCTGATGACGAATGAAACAAAACTTTGGATCCGCCCTTTGATCGCAGATAGGCGACAAAGCAATTGGACTCCGCTCATTAGCCCAGCCTGATCAAAGATGAGAATGTCTTCGAAATGTCAACGTCTTTTTTGCCTTCATTTTATCTCTATGAGCTGTGATAACCGGCACATCAGAAGTTACAGAAAAGTGTAATTTTTTATAAAAGTAGTTTATGAACGCAGTGTTCATAGTCCTGAATTATCCTGTTGCAAGCAAAATTTAGTGACATGTTTCAAGAAATCAATATCTGTAATGCGGATCGCATTCTTATCTGTGTGTGTTTTCTTGCATCAAGTTTAATACTGTATGAAAATATCTCAAATGCGGAGAAATGCGTCGTCTGGAAATATTTCGACGCAATTGCTGGTCAAGAGTCTGATATTGTCGATAAGGCAGTTTGTGTCGTAAGTAAAGAACAGAAAGAAGGTTACTTTGATATGACGTCAAAATATACTGACATTAGAAAAAATATTTCTTCAACATGATTTTTACCACGGCGGCCAATTTCGCGATAGGACAAACCAACATCTCGATAGGCAATAGTTCTACCCCTGTCAAAGTCGCTAACATGGTGAAAACTAAGAGATATAGAGATTTTTAACAAAGGTAAACAAAAACAAAGATATGAGTCATGCCTGGTAATGTAATCTATGAGAACAAATATTTTCAAAATGATTCGTTAAAGTTGAAAATTCTACGTTTCTTCAACTGTTGATTCCTGTTCCTCTGTTTTGATTTCTCACATCAATTTCTCAGTACTAACTGGGTAGTTTTTAGCTATACTATACGAATGAGACTGTCCATTACATAGCACTTTGAACTGTTCTCAATCAATTAATCGATTCTTATCCCATCGGTTATACGTACGTAAAAAAACAAGAAAAACCTCCATGTACGCCAATGCCTGCTCCCTACATCCTCTATCGAAATTAATTACATGGTAATATGGGTAACGATCCATAATTCTCAGCCCCCAGGGGGCGGAAGCCCCTACTGGAAAGTGTCACGCAGCCCTGGCACGCGAATCCAGTATTACTTGTAAAACCTCTGGACTCGTGAGGTTATTTATCGCGGAATGCCGTGAGATTCGGTCAGATTGTCAACCGAACCACGATACGGGAATAATGTTTGGTTTGGTCAATGGCACCGCCGCTTCTGCTAATCTAGAGTGTGCACGCGTACAACTGCAGTTTAAATAGAATCTATATATATGAAGAGAAAATTATCATGCGGATAATGTATAACAAAAATAGGAAAATAATGGGCAAAATCCGCAAAAAGTGGATTCGAGCAGAAAATAGGATAGGTAACCCGAGCGATACGTATTTCCGCTGGTTGGCTTTATCAGGCCCGAAATGAATGCACATAGGCAACTACAAAAGTAGATACACATGCCCATACATCCGGATACTACAATGTGTAGGTTGGCTCTTGTAGACTTCGTGTGTCTTCTTTTTTCCTCTCCATCTTCGTTTCCTCAGGTCACACCCGTATCCGGCTGTATGGGCATATGTATCTACTTTTGTAGTTGCATATGTGCATTCATTTCGGGCCTGATGAAGCCAACCAGCAGAAATTCGTATCGCTCGGGTTACCTATCCTATTTTCTGCTCGAATCCACTTTTTGCGGATTTTGCCCATTATTTTCCTATTTATATACAGAGTGACTTGAAGTTGAGTCATTTATTTTAACAGTGAGTAGATATGATCAAAAGAAATGTTTTTTCCTTTAACATTTTTCTGGTAAAATTAAAGTTACAAAGTTATAGCCCTTTAGAAGTTTAAGTACCGCCCTGTCTCAATAATAATATTATGTGCTCGTGTTTGGCAACAACGGATATAATCCGCCTTATCCGTTCATCGCATCGGAAACAAAAATGCGAAAGAATTTGAAACGATGCTTTTACTACAATGTACAATCTTATTCAGTTGTATTCAGTCGATGTGTCAGTCGATAACGCGTGAGTGAATAGTGGTGTTTCTTGCGTGGCTCAAACGAAATAAGAAATGGCACATGTTTACGAAAATGCTGAATGTAGTACAAAGGGCTCGTGAATCAGGTGACTTAAGACCTCACAGGGGAGGGCATGCCGGTGCTCCAAGACCGCACGGTCAAATACAGGTCCGCACTGAAATACTAGTCGGGAGGATACTTTATAAAACAAGGTAACATTTTTTTTTAATTTTTTTTTTATTTTTACACACATGTTTTGGTTTATCTTCCTTCTATACGTACAATCATTATCTGAAAATTAATGACTCAACTTCAAAGTCACCCTGTATATAAAGATGGCCGAGAGGAGTGCCTGCCTCTTTTGGTACTTGAGATATTTCTTCTACCGCGCGCGCTCCATGCTCAAACGAACTGTCAAACGCGCGTAGCTCAAATAATCATTAGGTTTTCAATGATTTCCCGATTTTCTTCGCAATTTTCTTGATTTTTCTTTTCGTAAAAACCTTCTATACAGGATTAGGAAACTTTAAAAAAAAAGATGAATGAAATCGGTAAAGTCGTTCTCAAATTATGGCGTCGCCACGGGAAATAGGGATCCATTTATATATATATTGGTATATATACCAACATAGTTAAACTTCCTCTGCAACCAAAAGTTTGAAATGAAGTGAGTCGATATTCGCGGCTAACTCAATTTTCATAAAATGTGGATTCATTCTGTTTTGTTCCAAAGCTCCTCATTTGCTCTCACAAGAACTGAAGCAGACGACCCGACCCGTCCCCCCCCTTCAACTGTCGATAGCACAACCGCTCTCCAATTGTCATAAGGGCAGTCGCTCTCAGAAGCATGCAGCAGACGACGCAAATCGCAATCGTAAAAAAAATTCCTGAAAATTTTTTTAAGGCGCTGAAAAGTAAGTAGAGTACATCAATCTCCAATATTCTTGTATGGTGTCGCTGACATATCGACTGAATTCTAGGATTAAGATTAAGCGAATTAAATTCGTATATTTCAACTAGCAAAGCATATTTTCCTTGCCACAAAAACTATAAATGGATTGATTGGACATAGTCGTAATTAAACTAGGTTACATTACTTTGGAATAACATCTATTATTCACGTGAATACGGTAATAATATCAAATTCAATTATCCACATTTATATTGTATGACATTAATAATCTAAATCCGATAACGAACAAAATCCATCAACTATATAATAACCTGACCGCCGACAAATCATGTAATGAACAACAAAACCATACAACACAATATATTCGTTATCATTTTGCTCAAACATACAGGGTGGTCCATAATAAATGCATTAAAAACATAGATTAAATCTTGGAAATAGTGATATTTAGCCAAATTGTCGCTATCATTATTTCTTTATAGGTCAATTATTTATGTAAAATTGAAAGTTGGGGGTTTCTGATTATAAGGAAAACAATTAGCTATATTTTTCACCAAAGTACCTGAAAGGTGATCAAATAGCTACTTCGGGATTTAATTTTAGCTACATTTCCAACGGACAAACGTATGGGAATTGTACTACCCATGTGTTCTTGAAAATTACAAAGGTGGAACTATCATTAACCGAAAGCTTTACTACAAATATGGCCGTAACTAGACAATATGTAAATCATTAATAAGTTGTGTGTATAATTTTACGAAAGAAACTTCCATAGGATTGCGAGATCATTCAATATAACCTCGCTTGACATATTTTGTACGGATTTCCCACGTATAAAGATTATTCAAACAATCCGAAGACGACCAATGAGATGAAGCGAAAGTATTTCTACAGTTTTTGGTGAAATTAAGCTGCAAAATGTTACTGAGAATTAAAGTCGAAAAACTATCATCCATAGAAACAACTAAAGGGGGCATTTGAGGTGTATGGTTTATAAAGCAAAAATTGTTGGCTTAAAAAAAAACGTGTAGTAGTACCTCTTGGAACACTCTTTAGGAATCACTAGTTACAGCTCTAATATTTCACGCCATATATTCTTATTATTATACTTTCTCATTTTTAAACTGGAAATGGAAAAAGCAGGAAATACGTCCGGATATGACCTTGACCTCAAATAACATTTAAGCTTGACATTTGATGTAAAATTCCCTCCTTTTCCGGTATAAAAACGAGAGGCTTTCTTTTGGAAATTTTGGCTTGTCCTTGAGGTCACCTTAGGGCGATCGCCCCAAACCCCTCAACTATAGTGTCGGACATTTGTGCCTTGAAACAGGCAATGTTCGAAGTAATGTTAGTACGTAAAATTTGCTCCTCTTTTCCATTACGGTGTGAAAAAAGAGGTTCTATTTGACCTTGAAATGACTTGAAACGTCATAGTCTCAAGACCCTACAACCTTTGAAACTTTTTTTAGAATGCGCAGTTTACGAAATATCCAAGTGGAGAGGTTAAAATGGGACACCGTGTACACAGGTGCACCTGAACTACAATAAACCATCATTGCGGCAAGCGTCACGATATATTTGAAGGAAAATTAATTGAACGTAAATTAATCACTCAGCCCTTAATTAACTACCCATCCTACTTGGCTCGTTTATTGAAATTTTGCTACTAGTTTGTTTGTACGGCTTTCTGCCACCTCACTGTACTCTTGAACTTTTATTAGCCAAATCATTAAAAAAAATTATATTCGATATTCTGAGACACCTGGTATACAAAAAATATTACATGAAAAACCCTATAACTTTTATATAATACTTATTCTCGTAGAAGGTCACATAAAGTTAGACAGTTATCATTCAAAATGGCACTGAACTTTTATAGATTCTCCTCTCAGAGCGTTTCTCATAATAAATATTAGTCACAAAATTCCACTTTATAGACTCACCTTTTGAGCTTTGCACATGACCGCCAACGGCTGCACGTCATGCGAAGTATGCCTGGAGTCCACCAAGCAATGTCCGCACACGCCCACCTTGCACACCAAACAGTACATGTTCAACGCCTCCTCGGGGTGGTCGGGACAGACTCCGCCCGCTTTTGCTCCGCCCATACCCCCACTCCTTCTGGGCTCGGATAGGACGTGCTTAGCTAACGGACCGCGCGCAGGGTGGCACGATTCGCGACAGGCGTCGCAGTAAAGGACCGCGCACTGTTCACATGCGACCGTCGCGTCTTTGGCCGGTTCCACTTCGCACATTTGACACTTTAGGGTGATGTTCTTCGACTCGCTGTATTTGTCGACGATGGTTTGCATGACACGGTATTTGGGCAGGTTGTGAGCACCGTTCTCGTCGAAGTAGACCAGTTTGTGGCAGACGGGGCAGGCCAGGCACAAGGCCGCGCTGAAACAGAAAAAAATGAGTAATACAGGAGGTCCCAGAAAAAGAAAGTTCTCGAATCCACATGGTAACAAAAAGATGGGGCTACCCTACGCCTAATCGACGCAAGTGAAAATAGATGCTCCTCAAACTACACTGCGTAATTCGACAACAGCAAGTTATGACAACATAGTTACCAACTAGGACCTCACTTGATGGTATTCATAGAAAACAAATAACTTATTTAGATTGCCAGGGACGAATTGAATGAAAGAATGATTCAGATGTATCCCAGCAACCACGAGAAACCAGTGGGTAGCTCACGCGGCGGGCTCTCTTGCACCTCCATCTTCTATATGCCGCAATCCTCGCCTTCCTGGTGAAGTTGAGCTTACCCTTGAGGTCCAATTCCAGAATATGTGCCGAGGACTCTTCCTGTTATGGCCAAATAACAGTCCCACCAGCAACCTTAGGTTATCTATATCCAGAGATAAGTACAAACGTTTATCTTTGGCACTAGGTCCGCTCTCGCGCCTACCGTGTCTAGGGACACTTTTCAATCTCAGATACTAGATATCCACTGCTCTCTAAATGGGCCAGCTGTTTTCCATGGACCCTGGCTAAATAAGTTAAATTTCTTATTGATTCCATCATGTTCAAGCTATGAATGGTCCCTGCTAGCGCCATCTTTCGAGCAGATATTATATTAAGTCAAACATACCACACCGATAGCACATGTTTGACGTTTAGGCAACCCACACAGATCCTACAAGTAAACAGGTAGTACGTAGTAGATGGCGATTACAAGTCAATCGTCAGCGCTTTCATTTTGCAGTTTTTTAATAAGGGTCCCGATGTAGGTAGTAGCGTACTGGACGGATCTGTACCTCCATAAAGGAGTCTTGTATGGAATTTTTATGGAATCTTTATTACTCATTCATACAAAACTCGCTTAAACAGTTGCAATGGACAGAATGCGGTTCTGTCTTATCTAATGTATAGATGCCATAAGAAGACATTTTTTACACAACATTGATTTGATTGTCAGTATACGTCCCACAGAAAACAATAAAGGAGTGGAAAGCGACGATTTGGGACATGGGAAGGACTACGATAAGGAATATAAATGGTTAATCCAAAAGTTTCAAGGTTCTTTATTGAAGTTTCAGAATAGCATCTAAGAGGCAATTAACAGCAAGTTATAAATAGCAATTATGGTGGCGTCGAAGAATTCGTACTGATCTCTTAAGGCGAATTCCGAGGATCTTGTAATTGAATTCTGCACGAAATGAAATCTACAGAAATCTGCGTCTCCAACGTGGAGACGACGATTCCAGACTTTGTTCAGCCATTTCAATAAGCAAAGCAGCAAATGTTAAGGCCAATTGACAACTTTACAATTCCAAGTGCACATGTTGACCGATAAATTGTCCTCCAAAGTCGGGCATTTACACCGGTATGGGTATTGCGTAAAAATCTGTCTTAATGTCAAAAAAATCTAACGTAATGTCAACTTGTTCACCAGGTCAAATGAGTTCACATCTAGTGCATACCGCTCATACTCGAGAGGACATGTAGTGAACGACAGCCAGTTTTCTAGGAAAAATATGACATTACGTAAGATATCTAGCGTAATCTCACAAAATTCTTACGTAGTGTCAATTCTCCCTGCAGACATTTGTCAGAAAATTTCTGACAAAAGAGCTGCAATTGAGCAAACGAACCACCCAGATGACATTCGCAAAGCAACGAATCTTGTTCATGAAGTGAGAAATGCTCTTCATGAATTCCGTAATGAGCAATGGAGCGACTTTCTGTCGGGGTTGCTTGACTCAAGTATTCCTCTCTGGAATGTTGCAAAGTCGCTCAGAAACGTAAAGCGAGAACAACTCCCGCACATCCACGGTCCTAGGGGCATAGCCTGTAGGACAGAGGAAAATGTCGAGGTTTTCGCTGATGCGATGGAAAGTCAGTTCTATCCCAACTATGACCTTGATAATGACCTCGACGAGGAGCAACATATTATTATTTTAGGGCCAACGGCGTCAGTAGTGCCTCCCTTAGTGATTTTTCCTCAGAGGAGATTCCTCAACTGAAGAGCTGCGTGGCACATCAGCGGAATCTCCTGAGACTCCGCATTGCACACCGGTAGAGCTTCAAGGTCATATTAAAGACCTCAAGGTGCGTAAAGCACCTGGAGAGGATCAAATCACTAATAAGGCGCTGAAGCTACTGTCGGAGCGGAAGCGGAAGTCCTTAACTTGACTCGCGGCAATAATCAATGCCATGCTAAGGACCCAGCACTTCCCAGCGGCTTGGAACACCGCTGATGTCATAATGATTCCAAATAAGGTGGATTCGATATTCCCCCAGGATTACCGCCTCATTAGTCTACTGTCAGCTCCTTCTAAGCTCGCTGAAAAGGAGATTCTACGTCACCTTGAAAAATTCTCGTCAGACCGAACGCCAAATTGCAAGTCACATTGTGGTGCATAGTACGGAGCTACAGGCCATTAGGCTTGTTGAAGGAGTAACCAGGGGGTTCACCCGTAACGAAAGTACTGGCATCTTGCTTCTGGATGTCTCAGAGGCATTTGACAAGGTGTGACACAAGGGCCATCTCTACAAATTGATCCATAACGGCTTCCCCTTCTGGCTCCTAAAACTTTTTAAATCCTTCCTCCAGGGTAGGAAATTTCGGATGAAAATTAATAACGTTCTGTCGACAACACGGCCCATCAAAGTCGGTGTCCCTCAGGGTTCGGTTCTTGGACCAGTCCTTTATTTACTTTTTATTCATTATCTCCCTTGCCCCAGGAACTGTGAAATCTATCTCTATGCTGATGACACTACCCTGGTGGCCCAGTCGTGTTCTGGGGATCTAGTTCACGACAGGCTGCAAAGTGCAGTATTGGAATGTGCGAATCGGTAGCTGATCAAAATTAATAATCGAAAACACAGGCAATCTATTGTACTAAAAAACGTAGCGGCGCCCCGTCTGAGGTTTCAGTTAATGGAACTCGGGTACCATGGGGAAGCTCTGCTAAGTATCTCGGTATCACTCTTGCTAAGGGGATGACCTGGCAGAAGCACACTGAAGCGTTAAACACTAAATTCCAAGTCTCGTTTCGGCAACTGTACCCTATGCTATGTAGAACATCAAAATCAAGTTTGATCAACAAAGTTCGGCTATACAAGATGGTTACTATACCAGCGATCACTTACGCAAGTGCGGCTTGGTGTTTTCTCGCCAAAACGCATTTGCGTAGCCTGCAGGTTTTGCAGAACAGAACCTTGCGTACAATCACAAACGCCCCATGGTATGTTTCCAACGAAACCCTTCACAGAGACCTTGACATCCCTTACCTACCCTTTGTTGCGCGAGTCAGTAGACTACACAGTCGAGCAAGTTCGCAAGCACACAATGCCGCGACTCGCACTGTGAACAAAATTAAATCGTGCGACTTTAGGTGCTACCAAAATTATAATTTTTCTTCAACAGCCAATCTCAAAATTAGTTTAGGATCAATTTAAAATTGCCGAATACTAATTAGCACTCCTCAAATTGACGCACTTCTTTTTTCTTTGCTCTCCCTCCTTCCTTCCTTTCTTCTTCCCTTCTTTCTCCCTGAATTTGTTTGGTATCTGAGCAACCAGACCTGACAGAGCTACTGACTTACAAGACTTTAACCAAGAGCAAAGAGCGTAGGTGGTAGACGGTCTCTGACTGTCGAACGCGGAGGTACCACCCGGCGGATCTCGTAGGCGGAGCTAGAATGTACCCAATGGGTGCTTAGGCCTTAGACCTTCGTGGTAGTTGGAGTATAAAAAAAAAGGTCCTACGGACCGCTCTGACAGACAATGACGAATAGACGACGTAGTGTCAAAAATTCTTAGCTAGTGCCACTTTTCAAAGTTACATAATACCCTTACCGCACTCCCCCATGGATCAACGACATGTGCACAATGACTTTTTTTTATTTTATTACATAATCAAGAGGTCTATATTTTTTCGTAGCCGGTGCAAGAATCTAAAAAAGAAATGTTGAGTTTTAGTAATAGATGCACCGATTATAATAAAAAAAATTGGAGAACTAGATACTAAGGTTATTCTGTTAAAAAAAATGGTGACAAAGATGTTGACCGCGGTTGATGCCAAAAAAGAAAACATTATTGTATATCTGTATAATCAAAAATAGTTTTTATACTGAAGCAGACCCAAAAAAAAAACCAGTGAAATTGCCTTCTTATGACATCGAAAAAATCCCCAAGATAATGATGCAACGCCATACTGGAAGAACGGGTTTTCGACAAAGGTTAACATTCGTATTGTGAAATATCACCTTCGTTTTTATCTCCTATATCGCCATTGATGCGTCCGCTGCAGATCCCCATGTAAACTGCTGCTCAAAAGTTTGCAACCGGTAGTAAAGTCTTTTTTTCTATATTTATGTGTTCAAAGTATATAAGCCTATATCCAACAACTGTAGAAAATAAAAATAGAATGAAATCAAGAAAAGATTGTCGAACCTAAATGGACGCATTCAGAAAACAACAGAGCTTCAACATTTGATGTCAACTGCTATTCTGATTCAAAAAGAGACTAATATCAAGTGTTGTAATTCTATAAATGCATACAATAACCTTGGGGCATTTTCAATGTTTTCATTACTAGACAAGATGTAAAAGGACGCAAGTTACAAAAAATAATAACACTATTCCATCAAAAATGGAATAGTGTTCCACATGGCAGTATCCTGGGACCACTTTTGTTTACTTTGTATATAAACGATTTACCTGCCATAGTCAAAAAACGCAAAATTTTCGCCGATGACACTTTGATTTATATAAGTATTAAAAATATTCAGATTGGTATCTCTTATATAAACGAAGATTTGAAAATTGTCTCAAAATGGCTAACATCTAACGGACTCAAATTAAAAACCAGCTATGTTAATTGGGAAAAACCAATGTACAAATGTTCAACTAAATATTGATCGTGAAGATATTGAATTCCTAAAAAA